ATTTTGATAAAATTTTTGATTTAATGAATTCAAGAAATCCTTATGGGAAGAATTGGAAATCTCCATTACGTATGCAGAATAAACATTACTGGCAGTCAATATTTTCTGAAACCAAAAGTTACATAAATCAGTTAAAAATCAATGGTTGTAACATTTTACAGCATCCAAGAAAAACGTTTGCTCTAGGGTTTTTAATTAACATTAATAGCTTTGAAAACTTGGCTTTGGACCTTTTATGTAATGTAGAAAATCCTCTTAGCTATTTTATGACTTACAAGTGTAGTCAAGATCACATAGAATTATTTTTTTCATGCATTAGATCACGAGGTGGTTGGAATGACAATCCAAATGCGCTTCAGTTTAAATGGGCATTGCGGAGATTACTGTTTCGAAATAGTGTTAGTGCTAGTGTAAATGCAAATTGCATTAATGATGATATAACATGTACACCAGTTTTTCAACTTAAAGAGATAAATGTAGTAAAATGTTTCACCAAAGATCACATCGAAGAATCTGAAGCTGAAAAATTACAAAATTTAATTAACTCTCTCGATGAAATTACACTTTCCTCATTTCAAGAGAATGTTTTGTCATACATAGCTGGATCCATATTAAAAAAAATGTTGCCAAACGTTGATTGTCCTCACTGTTATAAAGTCTTAATAAGAAGTCCTATTTTTAATGAACATGAATATGCCAACTTAAAACATAAGCATTATCAGTTTATAAAGTTCATCTCGAATGGTAAGCTTCTGATACCTTCTGATGCAGTTTTTGATATTGTACAATTTACAGAAAGAGTATTTCGTTCATATGTTAATTGCGGATATTCTTTAAAAGAAAATCTTAAGCAAAATATTGTAGTTGCTGTTTCACAACATTTTACCCCAAAAATAAATACTTTATTTCAACCACCACATCCTATTACTGATATTTGTGATGATTTGCATGAAATACAAATAATTAAATACATCGCAACAACTTTTGCAACTATACGCATTCAAACTTATGCAAAAAAGAAAACGTTACGGATTTTAGGAGATAAAGCCACCATTCGACAAAAATTACATAAAACAATCCTATTTTATCATGTTTAGGTTAATTTAGTTTTTTAATGTACTATCATAGTTGTAATTGTATCGTATGTATACAAAAGAATGTAAAATAAATTTGATTTGTCTTTGATTTATAATCAATGTTAAAAATGCAGAAATCGTACTTCATCTTTTCCTCTTTATTTTGTATAGAGTCACAAGCTGCTCGATTCCCATCGAATTGGAAACTTAGGTTTATATGCATATGTTACGGCTAATGTGGCTGATCTGGTCATTATCAATAATTAAGCGAAGGCACATTATTTGAAAGGGCCCCGTTAGCTTCGGGGATGGAAAACTACTGCCACTTAAATGAAAGTGAGGAGATATTTAATTTTTAAAGAAATCTTTCCGGGGCTGTTCATAAAATGTCCCTTCCCCTAATTATTAACATTGACCGGATTAACCACATTCCCCGTAACACATATAATCCTAGTGAATAGTTTAGAAAAAATTAACTAATTTCAATTGCGCTTTTACAGTTGTAAATTTATAATAGAAAATAAAAATTGTCACAAAACTGAATGAATAATGCAACAGACAAGGATAGATATCCACTTCAGAGCAGCGGTGTTACTCTAACCTTAAAGACCGTTTCTAGAATATTACGTGCGCATTCCAGTTATGGTTATAGTTCAATGGTACAATGTCAGTTAAAAGTTAAGTTTGTAGATTAAACTGTAGATTTTAGGTTTCTGCTGTTGTACAATCAACGGTAATAGAGAAATCTGCAGTTAAATCTTTACTGGCACCCGAGCTGGCACCTTACCTTACGGTAAAACATAGAAAACTGCAGTTTGACAAAAAAACGGCACACGCACGAACATTGTTTAAATTTTGTGTAAGGTTATGTTAATTGGTAACTACAACTACCTACTGAATATCAAGTGAATATGAATGAAATATTTGATATATTTGAGGAATTAATGTCGGATGATGAGGAAATAATTAATTTTGTTGAAAGACCCCGTCGCCGTAAACAGTTTAGACAACGAAAAAATCATTTTGAAGAATGGGACGACGAGGCCTTTTTGGACAGGTTTCGACTGTCCAAGGATTGTATTTTGGCAATCTTAGAACAAATTGAAGAACAAATATCTTATTTAACAGACAGGTAGAAGTTTGTTCTGAGAATTTCTGAGTTATATGAATCTTTCGATGTTACAGAAAGAAATGAAGCGGTTGATGCTCTAACGCAACTACTGTTATGTTAACACTCCGTTTTTATGCCTCTGGTTCTATGATAATTGTAGCAGGTGATTTTGGAGGTATACACAAGTCAACTGCCTCCAGGATTATTGCACGAGTTACAAGAGCAATAGCCTCATTGGCGCAACATTATATTAAAATGCCTTCGACTGACGAAGAGAAAGCTCAAACAACAAGAAAATTCTATAATGTTTCCCGGTTTCCCAAAGTGATTGGGGCTATAGATTGTACACATGTTCGAATCCAATCTCCAGGTGACTACTATATCTATTGCCGCTTTCAACATGCGCTCCATAATTCATTTGTAGGTGATGATGATGCCGAACGTTACCGGAATCGTAAAGGATATTTTTCGATTAATGTTCAAACTGTATGTGATGCAGAGCTGAGAATACAAAACATAGTAGCTCGATGGCCCGGATCAGTTCATGATTCTACTATTTTCGGAAATAGTAGGTTGAAGGCGCTAATGGAAACCGATTATCAAGATTATTTTCTCGTGGGAGATTCTGGGTACCCTGTGGAAAATTATCTTATGACTCCGTTGTTAAACCCAAATACACCTGCACAGCATTTGTATAATGAGGCTCAAATTAGAACGAGAAACGTAGTCGAGCGTTCATACAGTGTTTGGAAACGACGCTTTGCAGTTTTATCACTTGGACTGCGTGTAAAGCTGACAACAACATTAAATATAATTGTAGCAACTGCGGTGCTGCATAATATTGCAATCAACATGAAGGTTATTAATCCACCTCCTGTTGAAGTAAATATAGAAAATGTGGAATGGGACGTGGCGGTTTACGAAGAGAGACATGGAAGAGATAATGTTCGAACAAACTTAATCGACAATTATTTTTCGCATTTATTGTAATTGTTGTACAAGAAAACTTAAATAAAAAATTAACATTCATTTTAATACTGTAAGATTCTATTCGGTATTTAAAATATTCAAAAGATTTTCTTTATTTAACATTTTAATTTGTAATTGCAAGTATTTTGCCCGTAATTGATGTTCAGTTTCGTTATGTTTTATCTTCTGAAGGTGCTCCTCATGCTGTAACTTAATTTGTTGAGTTTGAGCCTGAATTTGTAGGTTAATTAATTCTAATCGAGCATGTGAAAGAGCAAATCTTCTCTCGACAATCATTTGTTAAATCGTTTTTCCCTTTTTTTGCTGTTCTGACATCTGAAATAACAGGTGTGGGATTAGGATTACCCATAAATTTTCTATAATGTTTACTCACTTGTTATGCATTTTCGTTTTACTGCAATCGGAGTGGTGGTTGTAACTGGAACACTTGGTTTACCTGTGTCACTCTGATCATTAGAGGCCATTGGGACTACATCACTTAATTCGGTGTCATTCATGTTATCATCATCAGCTATACTTTCAATTTCATTCAATTCATCTGAAGAAACTACAGTGCAATGTACTGTCTTATCTTGTGCAACAGTAAGAACTGGAGTCTTTATGGTTTTCAGTTTGTCTGGAGTCCAGCCGGACCATTTCATCGATTCAACTGTCACATCAGCACCATCATTAACTACTTCGATTACATCACTATCAAACTGATTAATTAGCCCTTCTAAACTAATTCCAATAATTTCTTTTATTTTTTGATCTGTTTCAGTTATTAATACCGGTTTATCGACACCTCCACCCGTTTTATATACATTTCGCTTTTCGGTTGCAAATTTTTTTTTTGCATTTTTTTTTAGATTCTCATATTTACCTTTAATATTTTTACAACTTCTATATACATCATTATTGGCATTAAATTCGTTAGTAATTTCCTCCCATGTGGTTTGTTTTTGTTTCCATGTAATTGCGTCTGTTTTTTTATTTTCTATAATGACCTTATATTTATTAACTAAGGTCATTAACAGTTGTACTTCTTGTTCTTTAAATTTTCCATACTTATATTCAGATTCCATTTTCAAGCAAGAGAAACAACTCGGTTTCATACACCATTCATAAACATAACCTCCAACCTGATTGCTAAAATTAACATACATGAAGTTGCAGACATACCTAGGGCGTTCAGAAAATTTGTTAAAATTAAACTTCACTGTAAATGAACTTGTACAACACAACAAATGTTAACTGAAGTTAAAACTGATATAGTTTGTTTCAATCTGCAGTTTAAACCTACTCATTGTACATTGTACAACTGGCCCTAAGAGTTGCAAACCATCTGCACTTGTAAATCTTAACCGCGTTTTATTTGCCATTTTTTGAATCTTGCAAGAGAAATAACACGTAAATGTGCACTTAACCTCACTAAAGTAAAAAGATCGTACCGGTAAACAAACCCGCTATTCGTACGAAAATACCGTGCTCCGCTAACGTAATAACGTTACGCTATTATCTGCGCAAGCGTATTTTTGCTAAAATAGCGTTAGCGTTTAGCGGAAATGTTGAAGACCAATGTTAAATGTGGCAACAGTGTGTGTAATCCATGTTTGTAATGTATATTGTTCGTGAAATAAAAATCGTATACTTCTGAAATACTTATTGCTTTGTGAAGTTTTTATCCACTGTACTTCTACAGGTTATGGGCCCAGGCCCCAGACGTTTAATCAAAATATTCAAAAGTAATAAGGGTGAAACGTAGATAAGACATAACCTCAATTCTACGGGCGTGGTGTGTTTCTTTTCGAGCGCGGAAGTCGAGAATATTTAAATATAACACCATGGATCAGAAGTTAAATATACCAGTTTTAAAGCTAAATAACGAGAACTGGGTAATTTGGAAATTCCAGACAACAGTAATGTTGAAAGGACAAGGTTTGTTTGAGGTGGTTACAGGGCAGCTTCAGAAACCTACTGAAGGTGTTGATGAAATATCAAAATGGTTAAGGAATGATGCTAAAGCTCAAGAATTAATCGTTACAAGAATTGAACAAGGACCCTTAACACACCTGTTATCATGTGAAACCTCAAAAGAAATGTGGTCAAAGTTAAAATCGGTCTACGATAAGGAATCTGTAGTCAGTGTACATTTGCTACAACAGAAATTTTTCCTGTTGGACTTTGGAAGTGATAGTGTCTCGCAGTACATCTCAAAATTAGAAGAGATCAGGAATAAACTGAAACAAGCCGGAGAAACATTATCTGAAAGGATGATCATGACCAAGATTCTAATGTCATTACCGGAGCGTTACAAGCATTTTACGTCTGCGTGGGAATCGGTGCCAGAAGAAAAACAAACTCTCGACGAACTAACGTCACGGTTGTTGGTTGAAGAGGAACGAGCAAAATCAAGTGAACCAATTACGGCTCTGGCCAGTACTGGTACAGTTCCAAAACCAAAATATACACCTACATCGAGTGGTGGAAAACCGGGTGAATGTAATTTTTGTCATCAGAAAGGACATTAAGTACGCAAGAAATTGTTTCAAGAAAAAGGATCTGCGAAAGACAAAGAAATGTAGTTACTGCAAAAAGGAAGGCCATGAAATCGAAAATTGTTGGTTTAGGAAAAACAAGGAAGAAAAGAAGGGTAATAAATCTCCAGATTCCAATGCTTTTGTAGCTTCAAATAAAGTGTATGAACACGACTGGTGCTTGGTGCATGGATACAGGCGCGAGTGAACACATGTGCTGGAATGTAAAATTGTTCGAGAATTTAAGGCCAGTAAAGAATGAAAGAAGAGTCAGAATAGGAGATGGAACAATGGTTGAAGTGAAAGGAATCGGAACAGTACATTTATGGGCGTTTAACGGAAGTAAATTGATCAAAACCTCATTAGCGGAGGTACTATACGTTCCCGAGTTAAAATTCAACTTATTCTCAGTTGGTTCTGCACTGGATAAAGGCTTCCAAATGATATCCGACAACAACGGTTGTAAAATTATCGACAAAGAAGGACGAGTAAGGGCAATTGCAAATCGACAAGATCGTTTGTACAAGATGTGTTTTGAGCTTGAAAATAATGAAGTTTGCTACAGTTTAAACACAGCTGTCCCACAAGAATGCGAAGATAGACCCGGATCAAGGTCAGAAAGCCAAGAAACAGCTGATTCTGAATGTTGCATTGTTGACAAGGTAAAGAAGTTAAGTGAGTGGCATAATATTCTTGCTCATCAAAACTTTTCGTTTATTAGAAACATCTTAAATCACAACGATATAAGTTTTATTGACGACAAGGACTATACGTGCGAAAAGTGTTTATCGGGAAAACAACATCGAATGCCTCATCCTGTAAGTGACTCTCGTGCAAAAAATGTTTTAGAATTGGTTCATGCAGACGTTTGTGGGCTAATGGAAACACCTTCCATAGGTGGTGCGCGATATTTTCTTATTATCAAGGACGATTTTTCAAGCTACAGATATGTGTATTTTTGAAAGCATAAATCAGAAGTGAAAATGTGTATTAAAAATTTTATAATCGTGGCAGAACGAGAAACGAACAGTAAATTAAAGGTATTAAGAACAGATAACGGACTAGAATTTGTGAACAGTGAATTAAAGGAATTGTTAGAGAATCAGGGTATTCGTCATCAACGATCGGTAGTTTACACCACGCAGCAAAATGGTCGAGCTGAAAGGGAAATACGTATCCTGGTGGAAGCCGCACGAACAATGATTAATGGAATGAATAAGGTTTTTTGGGCTGAAGCCGTCAATACGGCCGCATACGTAATTAATCGGACCGAACATGTACCGAAAGAAACCAGATTAAAATGGGACAACAAAAATAAAATAGGAATTTTTGTTGGGTATAGTGAACAAGTAAAAGGTTATAGAGTGTACTTTCCTGAAAAAAACAAGTTAGATTGTCATAGAGATATAATATTCTTACATGACGAAGAAGAAAAAATCAAATCGGCAGTCGAAGTGCAGCAGCCTGAAACCAGCATGCAGGTTGAAAATGGCAGTGATGACGACTCTGACGATCCCGAGAGCGAATACGATGGGACTACATCCGAAGGTGGTGAAAACAACGTAGATGAAAATACGGAGGATCAGCCACCAGTCGAGGTGGAGCAGCATCGGTACAATTTACGGCAGACCAGAACGAGACCGAAGAAATTCGAAGATTACGAGCACGATCTGGAAACGGGACTGTTGGCGTTTGACAATCGAGATGGAGAACCTACCACTTATGAAGAGGCCATGCTGAGCAACGAATCGGAGAAATGGGGAGAAGCAATTGATAAGGAAGTGAGTGCGTTAAATGAAAACAACACGTGGGTAGTTGAAAGTAATCCAAGTGATGTGAAATTATCGGATTTATGGCTCAGTGGTAGAGCATTGGGTTATAAATCCGAAGGTCGGGCGTTCGAACCTGGGTTGAGGTGAATTTTTCATCTGTGGCGGAGATGGAAATTACCTTAGACCAGTTCCGAGCATTCTACCGGCTACTCCGAATTAGGGTTTTCCTGCAGTTTTCCTAATTCGTAAGGTAAATACCGGAGTAGTATAGACCACTTAAGACCTTCTGCAGAGGCACCTCTAAATAGCATTGTGCGGGTCACTCTGTAATTGGGCGCATGCCTGTTGAGGGCCCAAAACAAGAGAGGGATAAAATAAATAAATAAATAGGGAAAGCAATTGAGTGTAAGTGGGTGTTTAAGAGGAAGCAAAGTAACACTGGTAATGTAGTTAGTTATAAGGCTCGTTTGGTAGCACGAGGTTTTCAACAACGAGGAGTATCCTTTTTGGATATTTACACTCCAGTTGCAAAGTTACCCTCAATAAGAATTTACTTAGCTATTTGCAATAAATTAAGAATGCCCATTCATCAGTTAGATGTCTGTAGTGCGTTTTTAAACGGCGAAATAGCAGGAAATGTTTACATTTCTTTACCAGAAGGTTTTAAGGAAAAGCAAGGTACAGTTTGTAAACTTAAAAAATCTTTATATGGGCTCAAATCATCTCCCAAAAATTGGAATGAGAAATTTCATAAAGTTATGCTTTCATTATCATTTGTAAGATCTGAATATGAATACTGTATTTACATTAGCCCAGATAGCACAATATACTCTAAAAATATTCCGAGAATATTCCTATAGGAATATTTATATATTCTCAAAACAGGCTATGAATATATATATATATACAGAATATTCTGAGAAAAACTGTATGTCCGCCCACAGAACATTTATGGAATATTCAATTGAATATACACAAAATTATTCTTATAATATTTTAAGAATATTCCATTCTGATTCGATGAATCTACCTGCAGTATTTGTAGAATGTTCAGAATTATATAGAGAATATTATGTGAAGCAACTGAAAATGTCCACAGAATATTCTAAGAATATTCCATTGCGATTCCATGAATCTACCCACATTATTTGTAGCATGTTCCGGATTATATAGAGAATATTCTATGGATAATACAGCTATGTTCACAGAATATTCCATTCCGATTCCATGAATCTACCCACATTATTTGTAGAATGTTCAGAATTATATAGAGAATGTTGTGTGAATCCACTGGCTATATCCACACAATATTCTATTGCAATTCCATGAATCTACCCACATTACTTGTAGCATGTTCAGAATCATATAGAGAATATTTTGTGAATCAAATACAGTACGATTCATATTATTTCCACAGCATATTTAATGTAGTGAATTATTCTCTAAAACCTCATCTATAAAAAATGAAGAACATAAATCAATTGTACGTATCAGGTTGCAGTATCCATCCACTCTGAAGTGTTGCATGCACAAAATATGTAAAATGAACACAATAATACAACCTGTTACTCAAATTTGCTGTTTCTAATCCCCTGAAAGATCACGTTTTAACCATATTTTGTAAGTACAATAAAAAATTCTATGAATGATTTAGGACATTAACTTAACATCTGGACATTATCATTAAACACTTTAAGTCGATGATTGGTATATTAATGCCTGTAATTTTACTTATGTTGTTTTTATGCTTGTGGAACAACAAAACAGCAATGGATGTTAGAACAAAAATTTTATTTAAAGAAACAAAGTCAAGAAATAATAAAATCAACCAAATAATCCCAAAAAAATAATTCAATTCTAATAGTTTTACAAAATACAACTAAATTAGTTTTTTTAATGTTTTTTTGACCTTTCAGTAGCTTTACTTAACCATAACGCTATTTCACTTTCAATATATTTTTTTAATAACATATTTTCTGAAGTTTTTGAGTGACACACTTGGACAGCATCTGGAAATAGAAGCGATAAAAAAGCCCATTCACTCTTTTACTACTTACTTATGACAATACTTGATAAATATTTTTCGTGAAACTTCCGTTTCCCTTTATGTCCTTTATAACTGTAAAATACCGCCAATTGATCAGTCATTACCGCCGACATTATGCGACGTACAGCCTCTTTATAATTTGGTGCACCGTCAAGCGATAAACGGTTGGCCTATATAGGTAACACAATACGTTACAAATACTTAGCCAAATTGTGTCTTACCAATTCATCGCGAATCTCTTCCTTTTTTTTATTTTCATCTGGTGATATTAACTCCTCCAATTCGTTTAGGACCTCTTCCGTTTTTAACGGAAACAATTTTAAAATATTCTCAAGATCTTCATTAATAGATTGACATCTCTGGTTTGCCATGGCCCTTCCTGCATTTAGACCAACTACTTTTTTTTCTAATTCATCTATATACATAGTTTGATGTTGTAGTAACCTGTTATTTTTTATTACAAGTTTGATTACTTCATCATGTTTATTTTCAATAGCTTTCAGTGTGCCCTGCTCAGTTAATCTTTCATTTCCATTCGTATCTAAATTTAAAAAATTAGCATTAATATTGTTCTCTCAAAACTAGATTATAAATTTTATTTTTTTATTGCCTTTATTTTATAGTGGGCGGAGTGTTAGCAATTTGCTACTCTTCCCACTCAACCCACTATACAATCACAAACAGCCACGCCTTACCTGGGATTCGAACCCAGGACCCTTGTAGCCAAATATAAATAAATAATAATATGAAATAATAAAATGAATATTCATGGTAAAGAAAGCACTACCAGAAAGAAATTTTGCTACCTTACCATTACTTTCAATTTCATGAAAATCTTGGGATCTTCCACAGTCTCGTCCACCAGCATGCAGTGTCCTTTTGGAATGACTTGAACGGGTTTTTGATTTATCTAATAATAAATGAATGTAATTACACATTAAACTAAATCAAGTATATTACCTAATGGAGGTTGCGGAAAATTTGGTAAGTCCTCGTTCGCATTGCTCTCGTCCTGCTCATCAGTAGATGAAGGGTACCGTCTATTAGACTTTTTCAGTCTCTTTGCTGGGAGTTCGTCAGCTTCTGCAGGGGTGTCAACGTCTGACGTAGTTAAGCCTTTGGTGGCTTTTTTAGACAAGCACTCTTTCGTTGATAATATAGTAACGGCATGCAAGTCCCATTTTAGTTTATCGGGAGTCCAACAGCTTTTAATAGCTTTGACGGTGTCACTTTTATTTGGAAAATTCGGCCAATAACATTCATTATTAGAAACCGAAACCCAGGACGAAGGAACTGCTTCGACCGATTCTGTCTCGTCTTCCTTGCGAGGTAGAAATTTGACAACCACCCAAGACATGGTTATGATTTTTTTATGCTGTATCTAAAAAGATAAATCTGCCATGCAAAACACTTAAGGCAATAATTTAAATTAATGGTACCAGAAGCAATAGTACTGGTAAGTTCCTTTAACCTTATTGCATTAATGTGTCACTTAAGTTGTTAAAAAAAAACAATACACACAGCAGTTGATTCTGGTACATTTTCTAAACTGTGCATTGGTAAAGGTAACACATACCACTATAGAACGTTCTTTCTTCAACACACTGGTTTAACCCTCTGCATGGGCGGCATTTAGGTACCGCCTATGACTCAAATTTAAAATTAGTAGGTGAAAAGCTCTTATATGTTTCTATGGCATCTAATTTTTTGTTTGCTCTCTCGCTTTAGAACTATATAGGAGGGTGGAATTGAAAAAATATCCGTCAATCGGTGCAAATATGTGCAAGGCGGGCGGTTTAAAATGTTTCTCTGTGCAAAACAAGGTAAAGAACATTGTTTTTTGAATGAAACTGTTTTACTTTTGATTTCTATTAACCTACACTGCAGTATGAGAAGTCATAGTGCAAGTGAGCGGAGCAAATTCCGCTATGCGCAAAAATATTGATGTGAAAATGTGCGCGCAATGGCAGGAGGGTTAAACATGAAATAAAGTAGGTGAATTAATTCAAATTTGCGTTCTATCAGTATGTAACAATGTACTTGCCACATAACTGCCATCATCATTCGGAAATCTAACCATTTTTTCGGAAACTTGTGAAAGTGGCCAGTAACATAATTTTTTGTCCAATTCCTTTATTAAAAACACTCCAACCAAAGAAGAATGACAAGGGAATGTAAAGTAATCCGTTTTTTGAAGATATGAACGTCCAATTATAACAAAATTGTCAATATCTGAACAAAAGGCAAAGTTTTCAATATTTACTATAACATTGCCCACAAGACAACAAGAGTCTTTACTATTAATAGACAGTTTAAACTTTTCAAAAATCACCGACTTGAATTCAGGTGCACTGCAATTTGGTACCAATACACCACCAGAATAGGGATTATATGCATTTGAAATTTACCTTTACCTACATTGTTACTGACTGAACTAATATCAGTATTATGCAGTTCATTAATTCGCCGAACAATCTGGGGTAAAACGTTGTGAGGTTTTCGCACTAACTCTTTTAGAAACTAAATAGTTCTCACTTGAAAAGTTGCTAAAATTATCTAGACAACCAAAGTGTCTAACATCATCAATTAAATGCAATAAGTTATGGACATTATGACTCAATAATGCTGCCCCGTAAATAAGTTTTGTACTTAAAACAAAGTGCTGTAAAATTTCTTCTGCATAGCTTAAATAAATTGCACAGTATTTTTCACTCACTAAAATTCTGATTGCAATGTGTAAAGATATAAAATGAAGGTACTTTTGTTTGGAAAGCACACCCTTTAAAACCAATGGCCCTGAATAGAGCAAAAATTGACGGAACTCTGTAGCTTTCCAGCGTCGGCATTCGTTAAGTCCCCTAGGTTTTCTGGCAAACTCTGAACAAACTACATTTCTGAAAGAATTCAATTTAGCTGAAACGTTACTAAAATCCTTACTACTGAATTTGTGTGGTGGTTTGCCAAAGCACCATATATTGACAAGAAATTTTTTAACAACTCCCAAACATATCAGATGCATGTAATCTAATGGTACATCAGACACCAAATTAATATCAGGAATATGTTCCTGTTATATACAGGGTGATTCCTATAGTACCTGCCACCGTTTGGGAGCGTATAGGGGGTGCCTAGGGGAGTATTTTGATATAGGACACTTGGGGTCGGAAATCTAAAATAAGGGCGCCAGAACCAAATTTATCTTCTGGAATTTCACGCCTGTATGTAGGCAACCCAACCGACCGACGTTTCGCGCGGAGCGATGCAGAGCGAGTAAGCGCGAGGAAGCGACATGGGAGGGAAGGAGGGAAAACGACAGTCAAAAGCAATAACGTTTACAAGTGTTCAACGTGGCCACCGTTGTTCTCAATGCACTTCCTACATCTAGCCAACTATTATTATACTATTGCCATAGTGTTTATTCACTTGATACGCGTCGTTGCAGACGGGATTTCGTGGGTTTAAACAAAATTCTGATCAAGTGTCAGCCACACATCGCCGCCTGAGATCGCTCCGTGTGCACCGCCGGCCGGTTGGGTTGCCTACCTACAGGCGCGAAATTCCAGAAGGTAAATTTGGCTCTGGCACCCTTATTTTAGATTTCCGACCCCAAGTGTCCTATATCAAAATACTCCCCTACGCACCACCTACACACTCCCAAACGGTGGCAGGTACTATAGGAATCACCCTGTATATGTGTACGTAGACGGAACGGGAGACACAGAGGAAATGACATGTACTTTTTAGGTTATGCTTTTTTACTGACTTACTATGAAATATATTAAGTGTACAAACGAATACTGGTATTCTGAATTATTCGACTTGAAGACTACGTGCCGAACATAACAAAGTGGCGACGAGGATAGTTTAAAACGTACCTTTTTACATTTACATGAAAAGCTTACATCAAGGTTTACATACATCATGTACCTACCTATTGGCGTTTAATTAGGTAAAAAGAGCCTGGTTTTGCTTCCTGGGAGACCTTATTTCCTTGTATTCAGGGGCCTGAAATCCGAAAAGCCTTGATAGCCCTCTTGGCGAATCCTTTATCCTTTAATTAATTTAATTGAATAGGTAGGAAAATCGTACGAGGTTAAGGCATTCATTACGAAAATGGAACAGTTAATACAAAATCTAACTTCAGTGGTACAAAAGATGCAAGAAACCCAATTACAAATACTGAATCAAGCAAATCCGCAACAATCACATTTTACGAAACCAGATCTACACGGTGTACATTTGCAACCATTCGATGAAAACAACGAGTCGTTTAATACATACATCCAAAGACTCGAAAACCATTTAAGTTTACGTGGCATTACGGATGAAACTCCAGAAGCTGATAGAAAAAAAGTACAAATTTTTCTAAACTATTTAGGGCCAAAGATGTACCAAACGCTCTCAAACATTACGTCACCTGACTCGCCCAGCTCTAAAACATATAAGGAGGTTGTACAGTTGTTGAAGATGCACATATGTCCACCACCAAGTGAAATTGCAGAACAGCATCGGTTTTCCTTACGGGTACAGCACGAGGGTGAATCAATAGCAAATTTTGTTGCCGAATTAAAACGTTTAACTACAAACTGTAATTTTAAGTGCATTGAGTGTGATAAACCTACAATAAACACTCACCTCAGATCACAATTTATAAAAGGTATTCGCGACAACGACATACGGGAACGGTTGTTACAGCAAACTGCTCCCACGTTTACATTTGATAAAGCTGTTGAATTAGCATTGTCCATAGAAATGTCGAAATGTGAAAGTAAACAGCTGCAAAGCAACTCGAGTCAAATAAATCTTGTTAGTAAAATTAATGAAAATAGCAAACCTTCGACTTCAAAAAAGAAGTTTGAAAGGAAAAATTACAATACCACAAAGCCTTGTGGAATAGCCTCTTTATTTGGGAAGTGTTTTAGATGTGGTAATCAAAACCACAATGCCAATGATTGTTTTGCTAAATTGAAAACTTGTACAAAATGTGGAACCAAAGGCCATTTGGCAAATGTTTGTTTAAAATCCGCGAATAATGCAAAATTACCAAACAAAACTTCAACTACACGGAAACAACATCAAGTTGATGTTGATTCAAATTCAGACGATGGTGCCGATATTTATTCAATTCATGCATTAAATATTTACAAGACAAACGACATTAACAACGATAAAATTTTGCTAAAAGTAAATATCGACAATACACCAACCAACATGGAGCTCGATACAGGAGCCGCCATCACTTCCATGTCATTACGACAATTTACAAAAATATGTCCAAATAAAAAGTTATTGCCAACATCAATTAAATTACGTACGTACACTGGGGAAATCATTAAGCCGGTTGGGGTTGCAAATGTTCAAGTCACTTACGAACACCAAGTACAAAATGGTGATGTCTACATTATCGATCAGGATGTTGATGCAATCTTTGGGAGAGATTGGTTAAAGAAAATTAAGCTGAACTGGCCGGATATCAAGAATGTTTCCTGTTACAATACAAGTGAGAAACTGAACACTCTGCTTGATAATTACAAAGACTTATTTGTGGACGAAATTGGGAAAATTCCTGACTACAAATGTTCCATAAAATTAAATGATGAATCAGTTTCACCAATTTTTATGAAGGCACGACCAGTACCATACGCATTAAAAACTCGTGTCGAAGAAGAAATTCTACGACTCGAAAAAGCAGACATTATCGAAAAAGTGGTACATTCAAACTGGGGTTCTGCGGTAGTTCCAGTAATTAAGAAAAATGGGAAACTACGCCTATGTGCTGACTACAAAGGCACAATAAATAAGCACATTCGAAATGACAAGTACCCTATACCCAGAATACAAGATATTTTTGCCAGTATGGAAGGAGGTAAATATTTTTGCTCGCTGGACATTAGTCAAGCTTACCTTCATATGGAAGTCGATGAAGAAACTGCAATGTTACAAGCAATTTCAACACATTTGGGTACCTACAAGGTAAAACGCCTTATGTTTGGAGTAAAAATAGCGCCAAACTGTTGGCAACGTTTTATGGACCAATTACTAAGTGGATTAGACGGAGTTACTTGCTTCATCGATGATATTAAAGTCCAAGGCTCGACCTACCAAGAAACAATCCACAGGTTGAAGCTAACCCTTGACAGGTTACGTACAAGGGGCTTACATTTGAATAAAAGGAAGTGCGAGTTCTTCAAGAAATCAATCAATTATTTGGGTCATGTAATTGATGAATCAGGATTACATGCCATGCCGGACAAAATTGACTCAATCAAAAACGCTCCTCAGCCTAAAGACGTACAGGGGGTACGGAAGTTACTCGGGTTGATAAATTACTATCACAGGTTCCTTCCAAATGTGTCTTCGAAACTGGCACCTTTATACGCATTACTTGTCAAGAATGCAAAATTTGTATGGTCCAAAGAATGTGAAACAGCATTTCGTCAAATTAAGGAAGAACTCGTTAGTCCAAAGGTTCTTACACATTTTAATATGGAACTAGCATTAGTTCTAGCCACAGACGCTGGACCAGAAGGATTAGGCGCCGTACTGTCACACAGATATCCTGACGGAGCAGAAAGACCTATTGCTTTCGAGTCAAGGTCTTTGTCCAAAAGTGAAAAATCGTACAGTCACATAAACAAGGAAGCAACAGCAATAATTTGGGGTCTTAAGCATTTTTTCCAATATTGTTATGGTCGAAAATTTATTCTTGTTACGGATAATAAGCCGCTTACAGCAATTTTTCATCCAAACAAGGAAATGCTGCTACGGGGGTTCCTTCTGGCCTTGAAAATTACCATCGGTTCCGCCCGGCAAGGCAAACCGTCCTCTTCTTAGGCTGCTCAATCGATAAAAATAAATGCTCCGGCTAACTCAAATCGGTGGGCTTTTAACTCTTTTTAAAACTGTGTAACCAACCTTAACCTGCCGCCTACCAGTCTCCTGCCTCAACTCCTACTTCTCCCTTTCCTTCCCCTCGTTCTTTGTTAAAGACAGGCACTTTGAAACCAAATAGATAATATATTGAAATGAAATTAGCGATACAAACAATTTACAGGGATCTAGCAGTTCTTCTCTTCTCCTTATAAAAACACTAGCTTAACAATGACAACTAAAAAATCCTAACAGGTGAAATTAATTTACTCAAGGGGTGGCCATCCTCTACAGTTTGAAAAAATGCAACAATAGGTAATCAGTTTTTTAATCCAGCGTGGGCTGGGACTTATTTAAATAAACACAAAAATGTATCCTACTCTTTGGTAATCGTTCATTGGACTTTAATAAACAATCAAATCAAATTTTTTTATTGTAGCTTAATTACCAAAAAGTGGAATTTTACAGAATGTTACAAATTTAATTAGACTAACCTTTACAACATTTGTACAGCCGATCTTGTGAACTGCTCTTTCCTCTGGTACAGGGTGGATGTGATGAAACCTGACACTTAGGTCTCTGTGACTTCCTAGGGGGGTGGCTTGAATTTAACACACGGAAACCAAAAATCCACGGTGCTTATCCTTCCTCGGAACGAAAGCAAAGTTTAGTGTTTGAACGGAAACTTAGTCCCGGAAATCCTTCGCGTGGCGAGTGGGAGACGGCTAGTTGCCAAAGTTTCTACACAGCACAGTGTATTTAATTTTATTTTATCAGTTTATTAGCTTTAATCGCCGGCGGGAGACGGATTTTTGAGTTAGCGGTACGGCAGAACACAAACTTTTATGTTCACTATCCGACGGTAAACCGCGACGGTTCAAAGTATTATTTCACCAGCTCTTCTTGGGGCAAATATCTCTCCGAAACGCAGCGCTCCTTCGACAAATGACCTTACGGCACTAGTAGGAAATTCCACCTGGGGCGGATCCCGAAATTCTGCGCCTTGAGGACTAGGGCAGCACTTTGAATTATATATCCTCGAGAAATCACAACGTATCCTAACGCGATTCACTGCATCCAAAATAATGGGGTGAAGCTCAAAGGTTCGCCAAAATATCCTCTGATTTGAACCGAGTCTTCTTCGCCAAAAAAATCAACCCGAAAAGAAAATAACACTTCGGAACGGGTGCAAAAAGCACGCAACTGGGAGCAACCGAAATAAGCCGGTGGCTCAAACCGCCAAGTGTACCAAAACTATCGCTCAAGGTACGTGTTGACCGCTTGACGTACTAACCGCGAGTCTTTTCAAAAACGATCCCCTTCTTCAGAATTGAAATGAAAAAACCACACCCAAATTACCATAAAACAAAAATGGCTCCCGCTAGAAATTCTCCCATTGGTTTAGATAAAGAAAACTTAACCCACTCCAACTTCGTCATTAACCTCCAAAAACTGCTGACCCAACTGATCTCACGGTTTTCTGCTGATGACGTGGAAAGGCCTTATCTGTTGACGGCTCGATGCTACATCCGCTCCTTTTCTCGGTCCAGACGGCGCCAATCGTTGATAAACTAACGACAAACAAACTCGCATTACTCATGATGACGTCAATCAGCTTTGCACTCTTCCCACGACGAAATTAAATCTGAGCGAAATTAAATCTATCGGACCATAGTCTTGAGCGAACCGAAATGCCCAAACACAAAACTTCTAACCGGAACAAATAATGAAATATACAGGGTGACCTGCACTATCATGACAAGAAATTCGAAATTTTTAATGAAATTTGGCGCGAAATCAAACCACTCGTTACAGTACCCCCTTCTGTTTTTTAAACGAATAAAACCTGATGAGCTTTGAAAAACAACAATAAAAAAAACGAGTACTTCCCCTAACCTACAGAAATAATCAATATTAAATATAAATTCGTCTACACCCATGTGTCCCATTCGTTGGTGATAGATCTCGATAATCCCCTTTCTTCGGTTTGTAGGTAAATAAATCACCCACCATTCCTGTGTTTTCTTACTTTTCCTGAATAATATACCTTGGTGTAACACAAAATTCTCTCTTAGTTTTTCAGCCCTTTCGTGCTTGTTGTCTTCAATTTCCCTTTTTATCCACGCACATTTCTCATCTTCATCCTGTTCTTCTTGAATGTTCTTTAAAATATTTCTCAGTTTCTTTTCTTCCTTTTTCTTTTTTACCTTCCCGATGGTTATAGCTGGTTGACTCTTCTGGGTAGCTCCGTACCTTGACAAGAAGTCGGCGATTCTATTCTTGGCTCCTTGACAATATTCAATTTGTAGGTTAAACTCTTGAAGTTTCAGAGACCATCTTTGTAATCGTGAATTCAATGACTTGCATGTCAGCAGAAACGATAGCGCTTTGTGATCGGTATATATAACTACTGGGTACCCTAAAATGTAGGTCCGAAACTTTGTAACTCCGAATAATATCGCTAAGAGCTCTAATTCGGTTATGCTATACCTCTTCTCAGCATCTTTTAATCCTCTGCTAGCGAAAGCTAACGTCCTCATTTCTCCTTTTTCGTCCTGTTGATATAAATGTGCTCCTAAAGCGTTAATGGAAGCGTCAGTATATAATATGAACGGTTTCGTGAAATCTGGAAACTTCAGTATCATCTCTTCATTGAATCCATTCTTCAGGTCTTCAAAAATTCGTTGGTATTTCTCATTCCAATCCCACTTTGAGTTCTTGGATAACAATGGTGCAAATCCTTGGCTGACTTCCGAAAAATGGTTTCTGAATCTTCTATAAAAATTACACATTCCCAAGAAAGATTGCAGTTCCTTCAAATTCCTGGGCGGAGGGACTTCCCTAATAGCGGCCAATCGGTCCGGGTTGATCCTCACTCCCTCTTTCCTCTTCACGATGTGTCCCAGAAACTGTATTTCTTCTTGTAAAAACTTGCTTTTCTTCATGTTGACGGTCATCCTAGCCTCTCTTAGCCTTTGGAATAGTAATTTCAAATGTTGTTCATGTTCCTGAAACGTCTTCGAAGCCACTACTATGTCGTCGACGTACACCAAGGCGTACGATAAAACCTCAGGTCCTAAAACTTGATCCAGACAACGGTTGAAAACCGCTACAGAAACGTTTAATCCAAACGGCAAAACTTTGTATTGGTAACTTCTTCCATTCACCAGGAAAGCCGTATATTTCCTTGACTCTTCATGTAGCGGTATCTGCCAGTATCCTGCAGTTAGGTCAATCGAGCTTAAATACTCCGGGTTGTCAAATCGTTCCAAAACTTCTTCCAAATTTGGTGGTGAATTGCGATCTTCTTCTATGATTTGATTCAACTTTCTAGCATCCAAACATATTCTCACGTCTCCTCCTTGTTTATTGACAACGACTATAGGATTCACAAAAGGTGATGATGATCTTTCAATGATGTTGTGTTCTATCATCCTTCGGATTTCCTTGTCCACCGCTCCCCTTTTCGCAAAAGGTATCGGATAGCTCTTCTTGAAAAACGGCACATCTTCTTTAATTTTCAACTTGCACACAAAATCCTTTACTAAACCGGGTTTCGTTGAAAAAATATCCTCATATTCTTCTACCAGTCCATCGATAGCCTCCCGTTCTTTGATATTGTCGTTCCCTGGTTGGATCTGCATGCTCACAGCTTGAACTCTTAAATTTCCTTCTTGAAATTTTATATAATGGTCGACTTCGTCGTCCTGGAAATATACTTCTCTTTTTTCTACGTCAATCTTCACCTTCTTTGCTGTCATCCAGTCCATGCCCAAAATAGAGGTCGATTCTAACTTCTTCACTACCAAAAATCTATGTTCATGTTGGTTATCTTGTATTTCTACTCTGAGGAGAGCTTGGTTGATTACTTTAACTATCTTCCCGGTGATTCCTTGTATGGTAATCCCACTCACTGGCAGGGTGATGACACGTGGGTTTCTCTTCTTTATAATCTCAAATAGTTCTTCAGATACCACACTAACTTGACTACCGGTGTCTAATAACATCTGCTGCTCCACCCCCTCCAGCTTTCCTATCAGGATTGGGTTGCATTCCTCTACTACTTCTCCTTCATTTTCCAAATCACTACCATAATTTTCCTCTTCCTCATAATCTTCCGTTAGTCGGTTAAGTTGTAGCACTTTATCCCCTTCTTCCTCTTCTCTCTCTTCTTCAACCTGATGTTTTACTTTCTTCATATCCTCAATTAATTCTTCCAAAATTTCTTCTTCTGTTCTCACCTCTCCGGGATCTTTTTTCATTTGTTTTCTTCCAACTTGATGCGTCAAATTCGCGGGGTTAAAATAATGTTTGGTAAAGTTGATAATTTGAGTTTGCTCCTTGGTTCTGGTAACAATCTTCGGGACTAGTGGAGCTCCTGGTCCCTGGCACGGTAGTTTTCCGGCTGTGATGATTCTGGTCTTCTTTGCTCTTCATAGTTTCTATTCGGGCCAAATGTCCCCCTTCCTCTTCTATAATTGTTGTAGCTGTTATATCCTCCCCTGACATAGTTGACCTGCCTCCGGGTCTCTTGCCTTTCATTATTATCTTGCCTCGGCTCCTGATTTCTACTTGCATTATAGTTCGGCCTGGGCCTATCATCTTGGCGGGAAATTTGAAGTCTCTCTAACGTCTCCACTAATTCGCCGATCGTTCTTACAGCGGATCCTATCAGCACGTCTTCAATATCTCTGGGAAAATGCCGGGATATGGCATTCACCAACTGAGATTCTTTCATCACTGGCTGTAGATGGTTGGTTTTATTGACCCAATACCAAACATGGTCGCTATAACGCCCGAACTTAGCTTGATATAGCCGGGGTGTGGCAAGTCGTAGTCTAATCTTCCCTTGCACCTCTTCTGACCAATATTGTTTGATGAAATCCTCTTTGAAATCCTCCCACGATTTCCATTTGTTTCGGTTTAAGTCGGCCCATGCCTTGGCGTTGCCTTCCACCATTCCTTTGGCATAAGCCAGCTTGTTATCTTCATTGGGCTCGAAATTACGGAGGTAGTTCTCCAAGCTCTCTACGAAACTTATCGGGTGTACGGTTTGAATATTCCCGTCGAATTTTTTCGGTTTCTGGTGAAGCAGGTGATCCGCTTTATAAATTATAGATGTGGGGTTGATGGGGCGAGGTTTCTTTTGATTTTCTTCCCACTGGGTCTTCAGCTCCCCAACTCCGGTTTCACACTCGCGTATTTTTTCTTGTTGTGTCTCCAGCAACTCTTCTACCTCTGCGTGGTTTCTGACCAGTTTTTCTTCAAGGACGATTTGTATTTCTTGCTGTTGACGACCAAATTCCGTTTCTACTGCCTTTAACTTGCCATTGGTTTCTTGTATGCTTCTCTTGATATCGCTTTGGACTCGTTCTTCTAACTTCTTTTCCTCTTCTTTGACTTCATACTTCAATTCTTCCACCATCATTTTTGTTTGGTATTGGAGCTCCTGCCTGTTTCTTTCCATTCGCTGTTCTAACCCTCCAATTAAACTGTGGGTCTCTCTCTGGGTTTCTTCCAGTTTCCTTTCCATGCTGTGTTGTCCCGCTTCCATCTTTTTCTGGTCCTCTTGCATTTTCTTCTGGCCCTCTTGCAACGCGCCTTCCACTTTCTTCTGGCCTTCTTGCATTTTCTTCTGGCCCTCTTCCTGTACTTGGATCAGCATCGCTATCATGTTGGTGATCCGGTCCATCTCCTCTTTCCTGCCACTGAGTTCCGTCTTCTTTGTTTCTTTTTTTTCTTCATGGCTCACTTCAGGTGGTGGTTGTTCACCGCTACCCCCTCCACTTGGGTTCACTTGTTCTTCTTGGCTCCCGAACAAATCTTGACTTTCCTGTGAAAACATCTTGTCAGCAAGGTTCGTTGGTTGCTTCTGTTTCTTATATCCTAACCTTCCTATTTTTTGGGACCCAAAAGAAAAATTCTACCGCTATGGTCGTTGATTTAACAAAAAACACCGCCCTTTCGTCTACTCCAATCAAAATTTACAAACCCCTAACAAAGAAATGGCAATACAAAAAACAAACAAACAAAATCCCTTCTCAATGTTACGCCTATGATTTTTTTCTCGCGATCTTATCCTTGACTCGACAAAATTCCTTCCGTCTCTCCTTTCACGCAACCTTGACCTGGTCTCGTCGACTTCCGTTCGTGAAAACGCTTACAAAAAATAACAACTTCCAAACAAATGCACACAAAAAAAATTTATCTCGGGGTGGTTTAGTGGACTTCGAGCCCCTACGTTGCTAGGCGACAATTGCTACGGGGGTTCCTTCTGGCCTTGAAAATTACCATCGGTTCCGCCCGGCAAGGCAAACCGTCCTCTTCTTAGGCTGCTCAATCGATAAAAATAAATGCTCCGGCTAACTCAAATCGGTGGGCTTTTAACTCTTTTTAAAACTGTGTAACCAACCTTAACCTGCCGCCTACCAGTCTCCTGCCTCAACTCCTACTTCTCCCTTTCCTTCCCCTCGTTCTTTGTTAAAGACAGGCACTTTGAACCCAAATAGATAATATATTGTAATGAAATTAGCGATACAAACAATTTACAGGGATCTAGCAGTTCTTCTCTTCTCCTTATAAAAACACTAGCTTAACAATGACAACTAAAAAATCCTAACAGGTGAAATTAATTTACTCAAGGGGTGGCCATCCTCTACAGTTTGAAAAAATGCAACAATAGGTAATCAGTTTTTTAATCCAGCGTGGGCTGGGACTTATTTAAATAAACACAAAAATGTATCCTACTCTTTGGTAATCGTTCATTGGACTTTAATAAACAATCAAATCAAATTTTTTTATTGTAGCTTAATTACCAAAAAGTGGAATTTCACAGAATATTACAAATTTAATTAGACTAACCTTCACAACATTTGTACAGCCGATCTTGTGAACTGCTCTTTCCTCTGGTACAGGGTGGATGTGATGAAACCTGACACTTAGGTCTCTGTGACTTCCTAGGGGGGTGGCTTGAATTTAACACACGGAAACCAAAAATCCACGGTGCTTATCCTTCCTCGGAACGAAAGCAAAGTTTAGTGTTTGAACGGAAACTTAGTCCCGGAAATCCTTCGCGTGGCGAGTGGGAGACGGCTAGTTGCCAAAGTTTCTACACAGCACAGTGTATTTAATTTTATTTTATCAGTTTATTAGCTTTAAACGCCGGCGGGAGACGGATTTTTGAGTTAGCGGTACGGCAGAACACAAACTTTTATGATCACTATCCGACGGTAAACCGCGACGGTTCAAAGTATTATTTCACCAGCTCTCCGAAACGCAGCGCTCCTTCGACAAATGACCTTACGGCACTAGTAGGAAATTCCACCTGGGGCGGATCCCGAAATTCTGCGCCTTGAGGACTAGGGCAGCACTTTGAATTATATATCCTCGAGAAATCACAACGTATCCTAACGCGATTCACTGCATCCAAAATAATGGGGTGAAGCTCAAAGGTTCGCCAAAATATCCTCTGATTTGAACCGAGTCTTCTTCGCCAAAAAAATCAACCCGAAAAGAAAATAACACTTCGGAACGGGTGCAAAAAGCACGCAACTGGGAGCAACCGAAATAAGCCGGTGGCTCAAACCGCCAAGTGTACCAAAACTATCGCTCAAGGTACGTGTTGACCGCTTGACGTACTAACCGCGAGTCTTTTCAAAAACGATCCCCTTCTTCAGAATTGAAATGAAAAAACCACACCCAAATTACCATAAAACAAAAATGGCTCCCGCTAGAAATTCTCCCATTGGTTTAGATAAAGAAAACTTAACCCACTCCAACTTCGTCATTAACCTCCAAAAACTGCTGACCCAACTGATCTCACGGTTTTCTGCTGATGACGTGGAAAGGCCTTATCTGTTGACGGCTCGATGCTACATCCGCTCCTTTTCTCGGTCCAGACGGCGCCAACGTTGATAAACTAACGACAAACAAACTCGCATTACTCATGATGACGTCAATCAGCTTTGCACTCTTCCCACGACGAAATTAAATCTGAGCGAAATTAAATCTATCGGACCATAGTCTTGAGCAAACCGAAATGCCCAAACACAAAATTTCTAACCGGAACAAATAATGAAATATACAGGGTGACCTGCACTATCATGACAAGAAATTCGAAATTTTTAATGAAATTTGGCGCGAAATCAAACCACTCGTTACAATGCCTGCTACATCCGCCACCAGGATGTTGCATTATGCAAACTTTTTATCTGGATTTGATTACCAAATCGAGTATAGGCGAAGTGAAGATCATGCCAATGCTGACTACCTTTCAAGATTTCCTTTACCCACAGAAATCGATGGAAAAGAAATCAATACAGAATCCGTTCTACAAATTCACCAAATCGACCTACTTCCAGTGACCCAGAAAGAAATTAAAAATCAAACGCTAAAGGATCCAGAGCTTAAAAATTTATATTTATCTCTACAAGCTGGTAACTTGTTACCAACAGGCTATTCGCAAACCGAATTTGAATTGTTGGACGGTTGTATTTTTAAGGGAATACGGGTTGTCATACCAAAATCTTTACAACACAAAATTTTACAAGAACTTCATAGTGCTCACGTTGGCATTGTTAAAATGAAGGCACTCGCGCGTAGCTATGTATGGTGGAAAGGAATAGACTCCGACATTGAAGCACTGAGCAAACATTGCATGCATTGTTCGAATGTAGCAAACTCGCCTGCCAAAGTATACCATCCTTGGGAATATGCATCATCCCCATGGCAACGTATCCATATTGACTACCTAGGACCTTTTATGAACACTTACATCCTTATTATCGTAGATGCTTACACAAAATGGATAGAGGCAATACCGATGAAAAATATTACTGCAAATGCTACAATACGCATTCTTCGTGACATCTTCTCTCGTTTTGGATTACCAGTTACAGTAGTATCGGATAATGGCAGCCAACTGAAATCGACAGAATTTGAAATGTTTTTAAAATCAAATGGAATTCACCACAAATGCATCGCACCTTATCACCCTGCGACAAATGGACAAGCTGAACGATATGTCCAAGTGGTAAAAAAGGGATTGCGCAGTATGATGAACGAACCGGGAGATCTACATTTTAAATTATGTCAACTTTTACTGCAGTATAGGAAGTTACCAAATTCAACCACAGGTATAAGCCCTGCAGAACTGATGTTCAAAAGACCCATAAGGACCAAGATCGATCTAGTGAAACGAAATGTAAAATCGGAACAGGATAATAGAGAAAGGAGAATATGTATGGCTCGGAAATTCAGCATTGGTGACAGGGTTCAAGTGAGGTGTTACGCTAACAAGGTCTATAAATGGAAATATGGCGTGGTAACATCACAAACAGGACATCTACATTATAACGTTATTGTAGATGGAATTGTACATAACTACCATGTGGATCAAATGAAAGCAACCGCAGTAGAAAACCGGCAATATGTTCCAACCAAAGAAATTCAGGAGCCTCAAGTAAAACCTAAAATTGAACCACCACCTACAGAGGTAGAGTCCGAAGGATTACCAGTACCTGAAGGAAATCATGGACCCAATGATACAATTCCAATTTTGGATGCAACGATACCTACAAGTTCAGCGGAAGAACCAATTGAACGTGAACAGGGATCAACTATTCCACGAAGGTCGACCCGAACAAGGAAACCACCAACCAGATTAGACTTGTAATATTATTTTCTTTCAGAAATAATTAGTTCTTTCTCATGTTACTCATTTATACCATTGTAATGAATTATTCTTTGTGGGGAAGAGTGTTATATATATGTGTACGTAGACGGAACGGGAGACACAGAGAAAATGACATGTACTTTTTAGGTTATGCTTTTTTACTTACTTACTATGAAATATATTAAGTGTACAAACGAATACTGGTATTCTGAATTATTCGACTTGAAGACTACGTGCCGAACATAACAGTTCCAAGATTGTTCTACCTGTATGGTAGTCACTACATGATTGTGAAAGAAATTGTTCATGTGTGCGCCTTTCAAATTTCATCTCAGGAAAGCAGGACTCTGTCATCTACATAATCACCCTCAGATGTAATGTACATTTGGTACAAGAAAAATAGCCGGAGTGGCCTTTTATATACAAAACGCTAGATTTTGCTACAGCGTCCATTAAAAACATTGCAATTTTAAAATCGTATGTTTTCCCCAATAATGTAATTCCATTATTTGTTAGGATTGTTGCTTCATCAACAAATTCCTTCATAAAGTCATTAAAATTATGTGGCTTTTGATAGCCAGCAAGTGTTATATTGCAAAATTCCAAATCCATAATCACACACAAAATTGGGTACAACTGACTGCCAGAACTGTGGGAAAGTGGTACACCGTCAATATTTACACCGATCTTAATAATGGTACTTTGGCCTTTTATTCAAATTGCAGTACTGTTGATGTATTGAATTTTGGATACCAAAATGATAATAAAGCCCTGGATTAACTGTAAGAAGTTTGGTATGTCTGGGAGTTGACAAAAATGTTCGAGGATCTTTGGGAAGATTTTTAAATCCTTGTACACCCAGAGATAGTATGTGTAATAAATCTTTAGTTGCCTCATGAGTTATTTTGTGTTTTAAAATCCACTGCCTAAGTTCACTTATAGTTTGATTCTCATGATGAAATTTCAAGGAACTATCAATAGATTGATCAATGTTTACATTACTTGATAACGGACTAATTTCATTTATTTCATTATCTGATAAGTCACTATTACTACTGACAGAAGTGCTAGAGCCAGATAGCATATTTGTAAAATTGGCATTATCAGTAATATTAATGGTAGGAGTTTCAAGTGGAGGTTCAATCATTGAATGTGAATTATCGATTTTGCATGTAGGATGATTTATAGGTATTACTTTTACTTGAAGTAAGCACTTGGGAATTTCTAATATGCAAGTCATAATCATCTTTCACAAGACGTCGAAATAGTATATTGAAAGACAAGTGTTACAATGGGACCTATTGTAATACGACTATCTTGTGGCACGAGTGGCGACGCGAAGCGTAGCCACGAGTGTCCGCAAGATAGGAGTATTACAATAAAGCATTGTAACACGCGTGTTTCATACTATTTTTTCTATTTCGGTGCTTTAATTTAATTTAAAAAATCATTATCAGAAACTATAGGGAACATTAGAACTAACATGTTTTATGTTGGGAACACTTTTTATGCCGTTAAGTTTTAGGTTGGCAGCGTAGTAAGACTGACATTTTGAAGTTCAAACATGGAAGTACCCAACGAAGTACTAGTAGGGGAGCTAGCACGAAATCCACTGAACGAGAATGATCAAAATTTTAACCGATGGAGTTCCATTTTGCCCTATCAGAGTATGCTAAAATCGATCGTCTGCCGTCTCAGGTCATACGACTTAAGGCGCTGCGTGTACTTCTTGTGGTACCAATTCTGAAAGGTTGTTTTTCGAGAAAATAAGTTATACACCAAATGAAAACGTTGATAATAGCTCTTAAAAAAATATTTAAAAAAATCGCGCACATTGGATAACTCCGTAAAAAAACAATTCTTAGTCGGTTTTTCACGAACTTTCTACGGATATAACTAGGTTACCGTTGGATGAATGAAGCTGATTTTTTTACAGACTAATGATAGGTACAGCCAATGACTATGAGAGTGTTTCTTTTTTAAATTTATTCTCTAATTATAAGATATCTTATAATGTTAAGATAATAAGATAATCTATATGGATATAAATACACTGCTATGCAAGTAAAGTACAGATGGCGATGCTTCGAAAAGGCTTATAAAAATTTTGCTAAGCATACAAAAAGTACAGGTCGAGGTTATAAGAAATTGGAGTTTTACGATGAGCTGCATGATATCTTTCAGAAGGAACCAAGATTCTACCCAGAAGTACTCACTTCAAGTGTAGCAACAAAAACTTTGCAAAAAGAAAATGCACTTCCTCAAAATGAAAATGTGCTTCCAACAAGGTTAAGTTTTGTCTTCAAACTATAGCCTTTTGTTAAAATATTTTTTTGGTGAGGCGCCACTTGCAAATACAATCACAACCATAACGCAAAACCCACCACAAGGTTTTAATGTTCAAAAGAAAGGTTACAAACCTACATCTATTGTTCTGGAAGGAATACATGCAGAAATGAAACGGAAAAATGATCTAACTGAACAGAAATTAGCCATAGAGAAAAAGAAAAATGAATTGTTAGAACGCAAATTGGAGTTAATGAGTAAATACTTAGCAGAGAAGGAGAAGTCGGAGATTTAAATTGCTCATGTTGTGTTAAGTAATATGTAATATTTAAGTATAATGACTTATATAATGCTACGGGGGTTCCTTCTGGACTTGAAAATTACCATCGGTTCCGCCCGGCAAGGCAAACCGTCTTCTTCTTAGGCTGCTCAATCGATAAAAATAAATGCTCCGGCTAACTCAAATCGGTGGGCTTTTAACTCTTTTGAAACTGCGTAACAAACCTTAACCTGCCGCCTACCAGTCTCCTGCCTCAACTCCTACTCCTCCTTTCCTTCCCCTCGTTCTTCGTTAAAGACATAGGCACATTGACACCAAATAGATAATATATTGAAATGAGATTAGCGATACAAACAATTTACAGGGATCTAGCAGTTCTTCTCTTCTCCTTGTAAAAACACTAGCTTAACAATGACAACTACTAACTAAAAAATCCTAACAGGTGAAACTAATTTACTCAAGGGGTGGCCATCCTCTACAGTTTGAAAATTGCAACAACAGGTAATCGTTTTTTAATCCAGCATGGGCTGGGACTTATTTAAATAAACACAAAAATTTATCCTACTCTTTGGTAATCGTTCATTGGACTTTAATAAACAATCAAATCAAAAATTTTTTTACTATAGCTTAATTACCAAAAAGTGGAATTTTACAGAATGTTACAAATTTAATTAGACTAACCTTTACAACATTTGTACAGCCGATCTTGTGAACTGCTCTTTCCTCTGGTACAGGGTGGATGTGATGAAACCTGACACTTAGGTCTCTGTGACTTCCTAGGGGTGGCTTGAATTTAACACACGGAAACAAAAATCCACGGTGCCTATCCTTCCTCGGAACGAAAGCAAAGTTTAGCGTTTAAAACGGAAACTTAGTCCCGGAAATCCTTCGCGTGGCGAGTGGGAGACGGCTAGTTGCCAAAGTTTCTACACAGCACAGTGTATTTAATTTTATTTTATTAGTTTATTAGCTTTGGCCGCCTGCGGAAGCGGAATACAGATTTTTGAGTTAGCGGTACAGCAGAACACAAACTTTTATGATCACTATCCGACGGTAAACCGCGATGGTTCAAAGTATTATTTCACCAGCTCTTCTTGGGGCAAATATCTCTCCGAAACGCAGCGCTCCTTCGACAAATGACCTTACGGCACTAGTAGGAAATTCCACCTGGGGCGGATCCCGAAATTCTGCGCCTTGAGGACTAGGGCAGCACTTTGAATTATATATCCTCGAGAAATCACAACGTATCCTAACGCGATTCACTGCATCCAAAGTAAACTGGGGTGAAGCTCAAGGGTTCGCCCAAATATCACCTGATTGAAACTTTAACTTTATTGTCTCACTCAGAAAAAAAAATACATTAAATTAATAGAAAATTTGAGGCGAAGTTCAGCTTCGAAGTAATTCTTCTTAGCTGCTCTTACACTTAACCTCGTTGGTGGCATACTAAAAATGTACAAATACAGCTTTAAACTTAAACTTACTATAACATAATCATCATGGAAAAAAAAACAAATGCAAGAAAGAGATGGAAATGTTTGCTTTTATGTGTTCGACTTTGTAGCACTAGTACTTAGGTGTTCTTTTACTTTCTTCCGAAACCTGGATAAAGGTAACAACTTGAGATTATCAGAGAGATCGTTGTAATAATGTGCAATGCAGTAGGAAAATGATCTGCGCCCTAGTTCTGTTTTAATGACTGGTATACTTAACTTGCCTCTAAATCTCAAGTTCAGGTGGTGTACGTCCGTGCGGTAAGTTATTTTGTTGTATAAGTATGGTGGCGTTTTGGTTGAAATTATTTTGTGATACAAACACAGCATGTGTAGTTTTCGACGGTTGAGCATGGTTAGCCAATCGACTTCTATTAGTTTATGGGAGATTCTGTGATACTTTTTAATGTTAAATATTAAGCGTAGACAAGTATTTTGAATTTTTTGTATTCGTGCAATGTCTCGCGAATCTAGACAAGGCCCATATACTGTATCACAATAATCGAATTTAGACAACACCAGGGAATGGCATAAAAGTGTTTTAATTTTCCGTAATTTTCCGATTCAGAATGTACCTATTTTGATAAATTAAACGCATACTACAGTAAGCATTTTGTATACATTTAGAGATATGCTGTTTATAACGAAGAGTGTGGTCTAGTGTTAGACCGAGGTTTTTAGCTGTTTGCATAATTGCAATACTTTCGCCATTTATTTTAATGTCGATATTGTTGATTATTCTTTGCCTATCGTCACTTCTACCAAATAGTATAACACCGCACTTGTTAGGATTCAGTATTAGTTTATGATCTTTACAGAATTTGCTGAGTTTGCTTAGATCTTTATTAATTAACTTACATGCATGATCAACATCTTCGGGTGCAAAGCTCAAGTACAGCTGTGAGTCATCGGCGTAAAAATGACAGACACATGACTCGATAACATTTATCAATTGTGAGGTATAGATTGAGAAAAGTATTGGGCTTAGAATAGCGCCCTGGGGGACACCGGATTTTAATTCCAAAAACTGAGACCGTTGGTTATTTACAATTACGGATTGACTTCGGCGGGACAGATAGTTTTTTATTAATTCAATTGCGCACACTTCTAATCCAACATGACGCAGTATAGCTAGTAGGACCTCATGGTCGACTGTGTCAAAGGCTTTTGAGAAGTCTAAGAGCACCATAATAGTAAGTCTTTTTTGATCTGTTGCTAATATAATGTCATCTGTAATGCTTAGCAAGGCTGTGCTACAGCTGTATCCGCGCCTAAATCCGGATTGATTTACTGGCAACACGTTATTACTTTCAATGTATTTCCGGAGTTGTTTTTCTACAAGTTTTTCAAATATTTTTGAGAGCGTTGGGAGTATACTTATGGGTCTCAGGTCTTTCAGCTCACTAGGTTTGTTAATTTTTGGTAATGGAGTGACGAGGGCCTGTTTCCATTGTGATGGAAACACAGAATACTTTATGCAAAAATTTATAATGTGAGTTATTACAGGGAGTATAAGGGGTACGCACAGTTTAATGATGTGAATGTTAATTCCATCAACACCAGTAGCATTTGTTTTTATTGAGTCTATGACGTGTAACACTTCTACCTCCTCAACTGTTTTAAATTTTAGTGTTTTAACCGGACCTCTGCTTTCGCCAGTATAAAGAGGTTCAGTATTCTGGTCATTAGTCTCAACTTTTGGAACGCAGTCTATAAAATATGCATTAATTTCATTTTCATCAGATAAGTTATTCGGGAGTGATTTATGTTTGTCTTTATTTAACATGTTCAAAAGAGAGACGTTTTTCCAGATGGAATTAGCATTTTCTGCAAATGATGTGTTCAAATAAGCTTTTTTTTCGTGTCTTATGGCGTTTGTAACTGCATTTCTTAATACCTTATAATGGTTCCATTGTGCTATGTCTTTCGTGTTTTTAAAGCTGGATAAGACTTGATCACGGAGGCCCATCATAATTTTGATGTTGTCCGTTACCCATGGTGAGAAGTGTGGTTTTTTATATCGCACTGTAACACGTGGAGCATGTAAATCCAAGAGAGTTTCTATGCTATCCACAAGAAAGTCAATTTTGATATCTATATTATGGATTTGGTAAATATTTCGCCAGGGGATGGAACTTAAATCATCTCTGAATTGATTGTAATTAATGTTTTTAAGGTTGCGAAATGTGCTTACCGTACACGTAGGTGGTAAGATTTCCACTTGAATTGTGCAAGTAGTGACGCAATGATCGGAAATATCATGTGCATCCATAACCGATGCTTCATTAAAAGTATTTGTGTTTGTAACCAGAATTAAATCAATAAGTGATTGGGTATTTCCCGTAATTCGAGTTGGTGCTGTTATTATTTGCTTAAGATCTACAGAGCTCATGAAATCTATTAAGTATGATGTAGGGGTACTAGACGTGTCCAACATATCAAGGTTGTAGTCCCCGAAGCAAATGATATCTGTGTGAATTCCTAGTAGGGTTAAAAATGTTGTCTCCAAAGAGTCCACAAAGCTTTTATAAAGACTACGAATCGGGTTATAAACAACACCGACAATAAAGTTACACCGGCTGTGTTTTATCTGTATCCACAGTTGTTCAATGTCCGAGCTACTTACCAAGCTATCAAAATTTAGATAATCCTTAACGTAGAACGTTACTCCACCTCCGCGAGTTTCCCTGTCTTTTCTCACAATATTATAGCTATCAATATGTATTGAGACGTTGGGAATTTCAGGTTTTAACCAGGTTTCGGTGCAAGCAAAAATGTCGTAATCCTGCAAAAGTATAAATTCTTTTAGTATGTCAAATTTATTTAGTATTGAACGTACATTTAAATGACCACATTTAAGTTTTTTTCCCATCAGATTATTCTCAGAAATACTACCTATTTTTATGCGACGACAAAAAAACAAAGAAAGGAAGAGAAAACAGAAAAAAAAAAGAGAAAGAAAACAATTTCAAATTTTCCTATAAGAATTATCCGTAAAGCTAAGTACAAAGAAAACATAATGGCATCGTGAAGTGAGATATGCGTACGGTCTATAACTTATCTATCACTTTTATTAACAAAAATATAAATTAACCCGCAGCCGGACAATAACTTCATTGAGACCGTAAAGAAAAACTAAACGTTAAGTAGGTTAGCACTTATACCATACACTTTGCAGAGGGTGCCCTAAGAATATCACGGTAGCTGGTCTAAGGTTTTCACTAGCGTTTTAGCGTTGTTGTGGTAAACAAACACGTTTCCATCCAACGACCACACACTTCTTTTTCCAAATTTTTCGACTGCTGCTCTGTATACGTTCAGCCGGTATCTAGTTAGATCTTCCGCAATAACAATCCGGGAACCTTTCAAGAGATGCCTTTTCTTCAATGCCTCTGCACGGGTACGATAAGATCCAAATTTGACTATGATGGGCCTTGGTTTATCACCGGGCTTTCCAACTCGGTGACAACGTTCGATATCGCGAAGGTCAATATTTAATTTCAACAGGTTCTCACACACATTAATAACTTCCGTATCTACATTTTCATTCTCTTTCTCTGCTATACCAAAGATACGGAT